AGAGCGCCGCCAGGCCCAAACGAAGTGTCGTTTGGGCCTACCCGATGGTGCTGGTCCAAAAATCAGGCCTTTAGGGCCTGTAATACAAAAAGGTCGGGCCTTGAGGCCCTGGTGTGTCCCTCCGGCCCTAAGTCGGGTCCGGTAGGACCCGTGTGGCATCGAAGATGTAACACCCGACCAGTAGGTGCCAACCAGCTGACCAGTCGGCTGGTCGGCATCAGTTTTTTTTTTCTTATACTTTGCAATTACGCCCTTTCTTGGTAAACTAGAAGCAAAACTTGTCAAAAATCATTGTGCATAGCTTTCATTTTGAATTGAATGTCATGCATGATGATTCATATATGAGAATTGACTCAACTCAAAACAGAAAGCCTTCGGCCTTTATACTGAACCAAATCGAGCCCGGAATCCAATAAAGAATAGCCATATTCATGATGGGCAACCAACCACCCAAAAATAAAAGAGTACATAAACTACTCATTAATATCATCCTTAGAGTTGGAAGTTCCAAATTCATTGGTCAATCAGCAGGCTCGCCAACACTTGCTCTACAAGCCCAGTCCACTTGCTGAATGCAAAGCATATAAGGAAAAACCTGTCAAACCATGAACCATCGAAGACATGAAATTGCCCCCCATTGGTTCCATCTGATTATCATCGGGATTTGAGCTCATGATATGTTCATCAACAGCTACATGTGTCTCGATTGAATGGTAAGCGAGCAAGATGGTGAGGTAGAAACTTACTTTTGGGTTTTTATGCAACCCTTGGTTCGAACTCAATGTCTGGATCATGATGCATGGGGTCTGATCTTAAATTGTGAGCATCAGAGTTGTAGTAATCATCGATAGCCCTCTCAAACGCTTCAGAAATGCATAACATCAATCTCAAAGAGACATCAGAGGGGGCACAAGCAAAGGGAGGAGTGTGAGGCAGAAGGGGAGCTGCAGACTGATTGTTATACCAGGAGTATCACCCACCGCTTCACATGGAGCTGTGGAAAGGCTCAGCCTAGTGTGCCAAAAGGCTGGCAGGGCCCGCTAGACCTTGTCCCCATGATGGTTCGCTATTGTGAGGACCATCCATTTTGTGGTGGACCGGTCGACGCAGGTGAAGATGACCCTGTACAGTCAGATTACCGGGTTGATCTAATTTTCCCCTCCACGTCGTCAATCGATAGTCAGTGAGAAATTTAATGACTGGTAATTTACTAATTTAATAGTAATTTTTGATTTTGTCCTTATCGGCATGCAAATGCAGCAAGTCCAGAGGGAATGCACCTACCCTTCCTCCTGTGATTCATTGTCGAGTGTTGCCTTATCGGTCTCTATTTCACACATGACGTCTCCTGGCAACACCTGCAAAGACCGTAAGCCAGTCCATTAAAAAATGCAAACAAGACAAAAGCCCATACTGCAAACAACCGTAAGCCAGTCGATAAAAAAATGCAAACAAGACTAACTGTAAAGTTCGCGTAAACCAGTCCATAAAAAAATGCAAACAAGACAAAAGCCCATACTGCGTCTGTGGTAGATTTTGTACCTTCACGATTTCACAAATCTTCCTCCCCTCATCTGCACCATGTTGAAGGATGCGCTTTTTAACTTTTTTAAATTTTTTTTCGGAAAATTTTCCAACTTTTTTCGAGTCCTTTTGATCTAACACGTCTGCATACCGTCAATAGCAGACCGCCTGCTGTGAATCTGCTCCGAACATGGCTATGATCTTTCAGAGATTCATTTCATGGCTGTGATTGTGTCCAGATACATAGCAGGTTAAGTAAAAAAAGCTGTCTTAAGCGTCTTAAGGCATGTTCAGGATAAGTACAAAGTAGAACTGTAGAAATTCGAAATGTCGAAAATCAGTGGCAGAACTGCAAGGAAAACCGCACGGGACAAACTCAATCTACACGAACAATGAACTTTCAGCGGGCCAGCGGCACAGATGGCGACACCGCAATTAGCGGGAATGGCAAAGCAATGTGAATGGATTCACGCTGTAAGCTTTCCCAGTCCCGGTTCTATGGTCCCTAATTACCACAGTCCAGGCCCCAATTGTTTAGAGTCTTAGGGCCTGTAGGATCAGACACCGTAGGTCGGTAGGCTACAGTACCGTACAGTACCGGTAGGAGCACATCAAGTCCCCAAAAGAAACATTTTGCAGCAGCCTCACAAGAAAAGTCGTGAAATTTCCCAAAATAGCAATTGGCCAGGCAGAGGCTGAAGGAGGCCAGTACGGATTGAAGCAGGCACAAAACAGTCCACTACAACGCCAGAGGAGTCAGTTGCTCATTTTGCAAATTTGTGGAAGCGCTGCTAGGAGCTTGTGCAGACTAGCGACCTGGACGAAGAAGAAAACGCTGAAGGGAGGAAGAAGACCAGCACTCTGGCTGCAACAGACCACCTTAGCCAGGAGGGAGGAGACAAAGTGTTGGCGGCCGTAACCGCCCATTTGCAGCGAGACACACCGCAGAGGCAGTCAGGGTAGATCTGGGACATTGTAGAGAGAGGAACAGTGAGTGAGGAACAGTGCAATATAAGAGAGAGAGAAGGAGAGCATAAAGAGCGAGCGATAGAGTAAAAGGTGGAAGGAGGAGGGAGTCAGGTACATACCTGAGGAGTGTTGCAGAGGTTGAAACCGCTTATTCCCAAACTTTTTGAAGTGTATATTATTGTGCTTTGAGTGGAACTTCGAATTTGCACTGTTCAAGGACACCGCTCAAGCTCGTGTGAACGTCATCTCAATGTTCTCAATTGCATTTGTATCTTGATTTGAATCTTGCGAGGTTCATTGCAAATGACACACAAGCACAAGAATTGATAATGCTGAAGTCGTCTGATGATGAAAAGCATCTCTCAACTCCAACAATCAATACAAGAATAATCATAACTCTCTTCTCTCTCTGGGATCTCTGCCAGTCTATGTGATCATGGACTCTGTCTTGTACTCTGGCCTGCACTGCTCCAATGTTCAATGATGCAGAGGCCAATGCTGCTCCCAAGGATGCCTGCACAAAGAATGTACCATGCTGGAGCTCTAGTTGGCTATCACCAGGTATGACTCTCACCAACTCTCCCCTCCTTGCGCCTCTCTCTCTCTCTCTCTCTCTCTCTCTCTCTCTCTCTCTCTCTCTCTC